GTGTGTGTTGATTATCGCGACCTTAATAAAGCAAGCCCAAAGAACAACTTTCCACTACCAAATATCCATATTTTGATTGATAATTGTGCCAAGCATGAGATTGGGTTTTTTGTGGATGCAGGGTATCATCAGATTTTAATGGATGAGGAAGATGCGGAAAATATGGCATTCATCACACCGTGGGGAACATATTGCTACCGGGTCATGCCTTTTGGTTTGAAAAATGCTAGGGCAACTTACATGAGGGAAATGACTACCATATTCCACGACATGATACAAAAGGAGATTGAGGTCTACGTGGACGATGTGATCATAAAGTCTAGGAAGCAGTCTGACCACGTCAGAGATTTGAGAAAGTTTTTTTAGAGGCTCCGCAAGTCAATCTTAAGCTCAACCTTGCAAAGTGTGCATTTGGTGTTCCATCTGAAAAACTGTTGGGGTTCATAGTCAGCCGGTGGGGCATTGAATTAGATCCGTAGATCAAAGCTATCCAGGAGTTACCACAGCCAAAGAACAAGACCGATGTGATGAGTCTGCTAGGGAGGTTGAACTACATCAGCAGGTTTATTGCTCAGCTCACGACAACTTGTGAGCCCATCTTTAAGTTGCTAAAGAAGGATGTTGCGGTCAAATGGACTGAGGAGTGCCAAAAAGCATTCGATAAGATCAAAGAGTATTTGTCAAACCCACTTGTGTTGGTCCCGCCGGAACCCGGGAGACCTTTGATTCTTTATTTGACAGTCCTAGATAATTCATTCGATTGTGTGTTGGGTCAACATGACATCACTGGCAAGAAAGAGCAAGTCATCTACTATCTCAGCAAGAAGTTCACATCTTATGAGGTTGAGTATACTCCCCTTGAAAGGACATGTTACACCCTGACTTGGGTGGCACAAAAGTTGAAGTATTATCTCTCATCTTACACTACTTACCTCATTTCTCGTCTGGATCCTCTAAAGTATATCTTTCAGAAGCCTATGCCCACAGGAAGGCTCGCAAAATGGCAAATTTTGCTTACAGAGTTTGACAGCGTATATGTGACTCGGATGGCGATGAAAGCCCAAGCTTTGGCCGATCACTTGGCCGAGAACCCGGTGGATGACGAATATGAACCTTTGAGGACTTACTTTCCTAATAAAGAGGTAATGCATATCGACGAGGTCGATAAGGATAAAAAGCCCGGTTGGAAACTCTTCTTTGATGGGGCCGCTAACATAAAAGACGTTGGAATAGGAGCTATACTCATTTCTGAAATAGGGCATCACTACATTGTCACAACTCAGCTTCGTTTCTACTGTACCAACAACATGGCCGAGTATGAAGCATGCATTTTGGGTTTAAGGTTGGTTGTGGACATGGGAGTCCAAGAAGTGCTAGTTTTGGGGGATTCAGATTTGTTGGTGCACCAGATTCAGAGAGAATGGGAGACTCGAGATTTGAAACTCATACCGTATCGGCAATGTCTGCAGGATCTCTGTTAGTGGTTCAGATTAGTGGAATTCAGGCATATCCCTGGGATCCACAATGAGGTTGTTGACGCTTTGGCTACTCTGGCATCGATGTTACATCATCCAGATAAGGGTTATATTGACCCTTTGCATATCCAGGTCTGCGATCAGATTGCTTACTGTAACATGGTAGAAGAAGAACTTGACGATGAACCTTGGTTCCACGATATCAGGGAGTATATCTGGTAGAAGCCACATGGGATCAAAAGAGAACAATTCGACGTTTGGCAAGTGGATTTTTCTTCAGTGGAGGAGTTTTGTACAAAATAACTCCAGATCTTGGATTGTTAAGATATATAGATGCTAGACAAGCCACGACTGTCATGACCAAAGTGCATTCCGAAGTCTGTGGGCCGCATATGAGTGGGTATGTTCTGGCAAAGAAAATTCTTCGAGCAGGTTATTATTGGCTCACCATGGAGCGAGATTGTATTAGTTTTGTGCGCAAGTGTCATCAATGCCAAGTACATGAAGATTTGATTCATTCTCCGCCTTCTGAATTGCACACAATGTTCGCACTATGGACCTTTGTTGCTTGGGGTATGGATGTCATTGGACCAATTGAGCTAACAACATCCAATGGACACAGGTTCATTCTGGTGGCCATTGACTATTTCACTAAGTGGGTTAAAGCTAAAACTTTCAAATCTGTGACCAAGAAGATAGTGGTTGATTTTGTTCATTCAAATATCATTTGTCGGTTCGGAATCCAAAAGGTGATCATCATAGATAATAGTGCTAATCTTAACAGTCATCTAATGAAAGAGGTATGTCAACAGTTTAAGATTATGCATCGCAATTCCACCCTATACCGCCCCAAGGTGAATGGAGCAGTCGATGCAGCCAACAAGAACATAAAGAAGATACTTCGGAAAATGGTGCAAGGTTCCAGGCAATGGCATGAGAAGTTGCCCTTTGCTCTGTTGGGTTATCGCACTACTATTCGCATTTTAGTAGGTACAACTCCTTATTTGTTGGTATATGGCATTGAAGCAGTGATACCCGCGAAAGTTGAAATCCCATCCCTTCGGATTGTTGCTGAGGCCGAAATTGATGATGATGAGTGGGTCAAAACCCGTTTGGAGCAATTGAGTTTGATTGATGAGAAAAGATTGGCAGTAGTGTGTCATGGCCAGTTGTATCAAAAGAGAATGACAAGAGGATACAACAAGAAGGTGCGTCCGCGAAAATTTAAAGTGGGTCAGCAAGTATTGAAGCGCATCCTTCCACATCAGGCTGAAGCAAAAGGCAAGTTCGCCCCAAATTGGCAGGGGTCGTTCATTGTAACAAGAGTGTTGTCCAATGGTGCTTTATATTTAACAGATGTAGAAGGCAAATATGTAGATATGGCTATCAATTCTGATATAGTCAAAAGATAGTATGCATGATTTCTTTGGTTTATCTAATTGTTGTTTATACTTGGCACATTTTGAAGATTAGAATGCCGAAGGCATTTTATTCTACTATCTAAACACTTTGTCCTTTGTTACCCCTTTGAGCCTTATTTATTTTCTTTCATACCTCTCTTTTGGAATCATTAGCAAAATTCAGAAACACGAACGCAAAAGGTAAGTAAAGAAGGAAAGAGAGGAAGAGAAGAGAAAAGAGAAAGAAAAGAATAGAAAAGAGCGAAAAAAGAAAAAGAAGAAGAAAAAAAGGAGAAAAGAAAGAAAAAAAAAGAAAGAAGAGAAAAGGAAAAAGAGAGAAAGAGAAAGAAAGAGAAAAGTAACAACAACAAAGTAATTCCTATGACATGAACTACGTTCGACCTGATTCCTTTTAAGGATACGTAGGTAGCCTCATGGTTCGGTCCCATCAAAAATTTCAAAAGTCCCAGAGCAAAGAAACTGGGGTAGAAAGTTGTGGTCGTTGTAAGAGATCTGATTCCAAAAGTTGTAATTTTGAACCCATTCAAGCTGTTTTGAGCCTTTGTGATATCCTTTCTTTCTAACCCTATCCAAAAGCCCACGTTACGGTCCAAACAAAGACCTTCCGATCAGTCTTCGAGAGATGTCAAGTCGAGCAAGTAGAGGTGACTCATATCAGGGGCAACACTCTGTTCTGAACAGGAAAATGAAAAATGAGAGAGTCTTAATGGTGAAAACCCTCACAGGCACCGTAAGGCGATGGAAATCTGAGAGAAATTAAAAAAAGAGAGAGTCCTATTGGTGAAAACTCTCACGGGCGTCGTAAAGCAAAAGTGAGTTGAGAGATAAATAAATGAGAGAGGTTTGCTGGTGAAAACCCTTCAGGGCACCGCAAGCCGAACAAGGTTGTTGACTTTGCAAAGGAATCAGATTATGGGAACCCTAGGCATAAAGTGTGAAGACTGAAATAGGATTGACTGAATGGACTAGGCTGATTAATCCGAAGTGCATGTCATGACCATTGATGCCAGCAGTTTCACTCAGATAAGTCATTTTTCCCTTTCTTCCTCAAACAATCTTTCTGTTTTGATTCTCTTCTCTATTCATAATCTCGAAGTCATTGCATTTCATTTCCTTTTGGGTTTATTCCTCTAAAGCTTTCTCAATGTTAGACTTGCTAAGCAAACGAAAGGATTGCAAAGCTTATTACCAACTTCCAAATTGCACAAAGAAAAGTGCAGCCACAACATGCCAAAAATAGCATGATGCGAGATGGAAAACAAGGTGTTATCCGGGGTTCAAATGATCAAGTGGTTTCGTGAATTGTGGGGAAAAACATAGAGGTTTAGATGGGACAGACAGATATGTTAAAATAGAAGGTTGACTATAGAGCACTAGGATCATTCAAGATTTTGTGGTTAAGGTTCAATCAGAAGGTGAAATAACTCTTTGCCTGTCAGATGCAACTGAGAAGAACAAAGCATGGCAGTGGAAAGGCCACCCTCAGCAAGAATGCCGCAAACTAACCACCACATTTTCAAACTGACAAGATTTTTCTTTGATTGAAACAGGGGCAGGAAATTTCGTTTGTTTCGGAAAAACCCTCCGTGAGGAAAACAGGTGCCAAACAAGCTCGGCAACAAGTTCCAGTACCCTTCCGGATAACAAGATTTAGTAAGTTTTGAGACCCTTGCAAATGACAAGGTCTGACAACAGGTCTACTTTTGGGAAGTATAATTTGGCATTTAAGTTCTTCGCTTTTGAGATGAGGCTTGGTTTGAAATTTTCAGGATAAAGGAATTCGGTTTAGAATTTATTTTGATAACAAGAATCGGTTAACACCCACAAATGTTCCCAATATCAAACTAGGGCAGAAAATTTCTTTTGTTTTGTCTGTTTTGTTGAAATCAGGTGCCCACATGGAGAACAAGGGAAGAAAACACGAGTTTCAAGAATAGAAAGCAGTTTAGGTTCAAGAAATCAGTCACCCACCTGGAGAACAAGGGAAGACAATTCAAAAGAAAAGCAGTTTCAAGAAGAGGACAATTCAGGTTCAGCAATCAGGCGCCCACCTGGAGAACAAGGGAAGACAACACAAGTTTCAAGAATAAAAAGCAGCTCAGGTTCAAGCAATCAAACACCCACCTGGAGAACAAGGGAAGACAGTTCAAAAGAAAAGCAGTTTCAAGAAGAGGACAATTCAGGTTCAGCAATCAGGCGCCCACCTGGAGAACAAGGGAAGACAGTTCAAAAGAAAAGCAGTTTCAAGAAGAGGACAATTCAGGTTCAACAATTAGGCGCCCACCTGGAGGACAAGGGAAGACAACACGAGTTTCAAGAATAGAAAGCAGTTCAGGTTCAAGCAATCAGGCACCCACCTGGAGAACAAGGGAAGACAGTTCAAAAGAAAAGCAGTTTCAAGAAGAGGACAATTCAGGTTCAGCAATCAGGCATCCACCTGGAAAATAAGGAAAGACAGTTCAAAGGAAAAGAAATCTCAAGAGAAAGCAGTTCAGGTTCAACAATCAGGCACCTACCTGGAGAACAAGGGATGACGACACAAGTTCAAAGGAAAGCGGGTCAAGCTCAGCAATAAGGCACCCACCTGGAGAATAAAGAAGAACAGCTCCAGTTTCAAAGGAAAACAGTGCAAGTTCAGCAATCAGGCGCCCACCTGGAGAGCAAGGAAAAATGGTGCAAGTTTCGAGGGAAAACAGTTCCAAGTAGCAAGAGAAGATGGTTCGAGTGTCTGCAATCAGGCGTCCACCTAGAAAACAAGGGGAAACAATTCAAGTTTCAGAGGAAAGGAAAACAATTCAAAAGTTGGTAATCAGGCACCCATCTGGAGAACAAAGGGAAAGCAGCAATGTGCAAAGGAAGACGATTCAAGTTCAGCAATCAGGAGCCCACCTGGAGAACAAAGGAAAGCAAGTCAAGTTTCAAAGAAAAGCAGTGCAGGTGTTGGAAATCAGGCACCCACCTGTAGAACAAGGAAAAACAGGTCAAGTTTCGAGGAAAATCAGTTCAAGTCTTGGCAATCAGGCGCCCACCTAGAGAGCAAGGGAATACAGTTAAAGTTTTGGCAATCTGAGCAAGGGAATACAGTTAAAGTTTTGGCAATCAGGCGCCCATCTGGAGAGCAAGGGAATACAGTTCAGGTTTTGGCAATCAGGCGCCCATCTGGAGAGCAAGGGAATACAGTTCAGGTTTTGGCAATCAGGCACCCACCTGGAAAACAAGGAAAGCAGTTCAAGTTTCAAAGGAAGACAACACAGGTTTCAAGGGAAAACAGTTTAAGGTAACAAAGGGAATACAATTCAAGTTTTGGTAATCAGGCGCCCATCTGGAGAACAAGGGAATACAGTTCAAATATTGGCAATCAAGCCCACCTGGGGAATAAGGGAATTCACCTTAGAATGCAATTCAGGTTGGCAACAAAGGAAGCTCACCTGGAGAATACAAGTCAATAGAGCGACAGAAATTGTAAGATCAAGTTTGAAGATATGTAGATAGGATTCTTGTAATTCATAAATTATAGTTTAGTTTAGTTTCGTTGTAATAAGGAGTTCAGCAAGCAGTAGCAGCAACAGCAACAGTGAAATCACAGCTTCCTGGTAGTCTCATCTACTGAAACTTCTCGAACTACACTAACCTGATTCCTTTATAGCCAAGGATATGTAGGCAACCTCGGAAGCAGGGTGCGGTTAAATCTTTCAAAAATGCTTCCCACGGAGTATTCAAACGGGCAAAAATCGCTCGTATCCGCTCACTTTATCTTTGCACGAAAACTCTTCGTGTTTCCGAGCAAAGAGGGGCAGCTGTGAGCACGTGATTTTTTCCCTATAGGAATTACTCCTAGAAAATATAAGAAAATAATTTTTTCCATTTTTTTGCAATGTTATAGGATTTTGTGGAAATTTGTGCTAATTGTTTGCATTTCTGTGCATGTTTAAGTTTTATTTAAATTATGAAAATACCAAAAATACCATGCATTGAATTTAAGTTTTATTTTTACATTTTTAGGATTAATCAGTAATTACTTATTTTATAAAAATTGAAAATTACAAAAATAGATCATTTTTACATTTTTACCTTTAAATCTTTAGGTTATTGATTTTTCTCTTTAATTTAGAACTAAGTGATTTTTATAATTTTTATAACCAGACAATTAGCTTAATTTTGTATTTTAGATTAATTTCGGGATTTAGTTTTGGTATTAAAAAAAAGGAAAAAGAAAAAACAAATAAAGAAGAAAAGGAAAATAAGAAAAGAATTGAAGGATAGGAGATTTGTTTTGAATTTCGGCCAATTCAATACCCAAATCCATTCCCAAAACTGGCCCAGAACACATTTCCTTACCCATTCCAGTCAAGCCCAATCCNTAAAGAAAACTCTAGCCGCCTTAATATCCTCTCAACTCACCGGCCGGTGGCGCAACTTTAATCAACCCCAAGTTCATACCACACAATCACTACCCACCCCTGTTTCTAATCCACCACCAAATTTTCCAAAATCCACATCAAATGCTCTCAGAGCCGGATCTAACAAAAACAGAAAGGATCGAGTTTGTGTCTTTTTTAACCGTTTATTGGTTTTACAAGGCTCGTGTTGGCTCGAGATCCATGCTAGTCGATTGTTCTTGGCAAGAACAACCGATTAGCATTGATTTCGGGTCATCCTAGAGTTATTCGAACCCTTTTGTTCGGTCAGTGCTTGTCAAAGCTTTCTTCCACATTTGTTTAGGTAATAACCACTACCCCTTTCTATTTTCCTTATTGTTCGTGCTTTAGCATATCTAGGTTTTGATTTTTTGCTTTTCATGATTCCAGTTTTAAATTGTTCTGTTAATTTTATTGTTTATTTAAGGTTGCTTGAATCTCATCTCAGTAGCTTAACACTTAGTTTAATTGCAGTTGTTGATAAATTATTGTCTTTCGGGTGTTTCTTTTAAAAGTCCATTTTCATTTAAATTCAGAGGATGCTTGCTTAAGTTTTCAATTGAATTCATTCCTCATTATGGTTTGGGATTCAGTTTGGGCTTGTTAATACAGAAGCCCAAAAGGCAGGTTGAGCATGTTTGGCTATATAGCCCAATTGCTGGTACTTTTCTAAAGGGTAAATAACAGAAAGTCAAAGGGTATTTAGGGGATTTGGATTGAAATAATCTTTCATAACTACCTAGGAAAGTTCTAGGAAAGTGGGAAATAGGCTGATTTAACAAATAGGTTTAAAGTTTGGGGTTTGAATTGAACAAAAGGGAATTGAAGAGAGGTAATAATGAATAAATAAAATCAGGTGATGCTGCCCTAGAATCGTTCTATATAAGGCCTATTTTACTCATTCTTTAGGGTAGAGGTCTAGAGTCCAAAAATAGAAACAGCTGAGGATTTTCTTCAAAAATACAGATTTTTAAAGTTCATTCTCTGCAAAAAGTATTGTCCTGAGTCCTTTTTCTAATCTCTCACAAGAAACTAGAAGCAATTTTCTGAAATTTTCAAACTCCAAAAGTGATGATACATGGTTTAGTTCTGGAAAGAAGCTGTGATTGCTTTGTTGTTGCTGTTTTGCTCACAATTTGGCTGAAATCCTCACTTTAATTTTGATTTGGCATCCAAGTATTTCTTGGACCCTAAGTGGCATGGAATGACAAGTTTGAAGTGTGTAATCCAAAATGAGGAAATCTACTGATCATGTTGCCTGTTAATTTTTATCTCCATGTTCTCTAAGTTCATTCATTTTATGTAATAATTCAGCTTTTCTTATATGCACTTTTGTTTGCTCATTTATATACTGATGTTGTATCACATTTGTGAGCTTTGAGTTAATAGTTAGGTTATTATGTTGGGTTGTAATCTGATTTAAAATCTTCTCATTGGGTATATAGAATGCTCCAACTATCTGTATAAGGAAACTGAGTCAGATGATGAATGTTTTTCTTTGGTTTTGTTCAAACATGTTTAAGTCTGCCTGAGTAAGATGTTGATTTCATGTGTTGAGTTGATTCATATTGTAATTTTGTGGGTTTACCTCTTGTTGAAGTATGGTTTTGAGCATCTGGGCCCTTTTAAGAGTCATAATTGAGTGAGAAGGTTTTTGAGCATTCGGAGTGTTGTATTGGGCTTGGGCTTGTGGCCCACTTGAAAATGGGTAGTCGTTTTCCTGGCCACAGTTTGGGGTTCGTATTGAACCCAGTACCTCCTTTCAGCACTATCTTTAGAAGTAGGATAAAAACCAGTCGGCTTTTAATGATTAAAGGGCCGCTTTTTTTATAAGATTTCCTAGACAGTTTAATCAAATATAGTCCTTTACAAATAGATTGAGGTGTTTCATTTTAATTCAATCGCCTATGGCCCTCATACTAATCTCATAACTTAGATATAAGAAAAATGAACTTCGTAGTTTGTTTTAGGCGCGTTAATTATATAATTATCACGGCTATTACTAAAATCTGGGGGTACATTTTATGTGACCCGGTTCTAATTTCCAACAAGGTTAAATAGAATGTGTCGTGACTCACGGGTGCATTTCATGTAGCGTGGCTTACGATGTGTTTTAAATAACCCTGAAATAATTCTTTAAATAAATAAAAATGATTTTAAAGTTAAAAATGCACATAGGTTTAAAAGTGTTTTAAAATCAGATAATTAGGCCAATAATAATAGTTGAGCGACCGTGCTAGAACCACGGAACCCGGGAATGCCTAACACCCTCTCTCAGTTTAACAAAATTCCTTACCCGGATTTTTGTGCTCGCGGACTATAAAACAGAGTCAATCTTCCTCGATTCGAGATTTTAAACTGGTAACTTGGGACACCATAAATTATCCCAAGTGACGACTCTAAATAAATAAATAGTCTTGTTTCGATTGTCACTTAAATTGGAAAAAATTCCCATATGCCCTTCCGGGGGTATAAAAAGGAGGTGTGACATGGAGAAGTGGTGACTATTTTTCCTTAGGTCGTTTTTATGGGGTGGCAAAATTTTAGGCGATTCGGGTCATGTCGCCCCGATGCGTGCAGATGGTGAGGACTATAATACACGAAAATCTGGCAATCGGGCAGAATTCTAATTTTACGGCCCTAAAACACCAAATAACGAGGAACGATCAAGGCGAAGCAGTGAATATTATTCCTTAGGTCGTTTTTGATGTGTCGGTAAAATTTTAGGCAATTCAGGTCCGGTCGCCCGGATGCATGCAGATGGCGTGAGTTATAACACACGAAAATATAGAAATCGCGAAATTTCAGGTTTATGGCCCTATAAGACTAAAAAATGAGGAACAGTCATGGCAAAGCGGTGGCTATTATTTCTTAGGTCGTTTTTGATGGACTGGCAAAATTTTAGGCAAATCGGGTCGCGCGGATGCATGGCAATGGTGTGGGCTATAGCACGGTATTCTAGTTTTATGGCCCTAAAACGCAAAAAAAAAAAAAAAAAGAGGAGGAACTGTCATGGTGAAGCAGTGACTATTGTTTCTTAGGTTATTTTTTATAAGCAGATAAATTTTTAGGCAATTCGGGTCCGGACGCATGCAGAGGGTGCAGGCTATAGCACATGAAAATCTGAGAATCGAGCGAAATTCTAACTTTATGGCTCTAAAACACCAAAAAGAAGGAACGGTCATGGCTAAGTGATGATTATTGTTTCTTAGATCGCTTAAATTCTAATCTGTTCGCTAGGATACATGCAGATAGCGTGGGCTATAGCACACGAAAATGTGAAAATCAGGCAAAATTCTAATTTTATGGCCCTAAAATGTCAAAAAATGTGGAACGGTCATGGTGAAACGCTGGCTATTATTTGTTAGTCGTTTTTTATGATTCGGCAAAATATTAGGCGATTGGGGTCTGGTCGCCCGGATGCATGCAGATGGCGTAAGCTATAGCACACAAAAATCTAGGAGTTGGGCGGAATTCCAATTTTATGGCCCTAAAATGCCAAAAAGGAGGAACTGTCATGGCAAAATAATGACTATTGTTCTTTAGGTCGTTTCTTATGGACCGGCAAAATTTTAAGCGATTCGGGTCTGATTGTCTTGATGTATACATATGGCATGGGCTATAGCACACAAAAATATCGAAATCGGTCAAAACTCCAGTTTTATGGCCCTAAAACGCCAAAAAATGAGAAACGGTCATGGCGAAGTGATGACTATTGTTCTTTAGGCCGTTTTGATGGACCGATACAATTTTAGGCGATTCAGATTTGATCGTCAGGATGCATGCAGATGGCGTGTGCTAGCGGAATTCCAGTTTTATGGCTCTAAAATACCAAAAAACGAGAAATGATCATGGCGTAGCGGTGACTATTATTCCAGGCTATTTTCTATGAGCCAGCAAAATTGTAGGCAATTCGGGTCTGGTCGCCCAGGTGAATGAAAATAGTGTGGGTCATAGCATATAAAAATCTAGGAATTGGGGAAATTTTAGTTTTATGGCAATAAAATGCTAATAAATAAGGAACGGTCATAGCGAAGCAGTGAATGTTGTTCCTTATGTCATTTTTGATAGGACGACAAAATTGTAGGTGACTCAGGTCCAGTCGCCCGGATGCATGCAAATGGTGTAAGCCATAGCACACAAAAATCTGAGAATCGGGCGGAATTCTAGTTTTATGGTATTAAAACGCCAATAAATGAGGAATGATCATGTCGAAGTGATGACTATTTTTCCTTAGGTCATTTTTTATGGGCTGGCGAAATTTTAGGTGATTCGGGTTAGTTGCCTAGATGCACGCAGATGGCGTGGGCAATAGCACACGAAAATCTGGGAATCAAGCGGAATTCCAGTTTTATGGTTCTAAAACGCCAAAAAACAAGGAATGGTCATGGCGAAATGGTGACTATTTTTTATTAGATCGTTTTTTATGGGCCGGCAAAATTTTAGACGATTCGGGTTTGGTTGCCCATATGCATGCAGATGGTGTGGGCTTTATAGCATACGAAAATCTGGGAATCGGTCGGTATTCCAGTTTTATGGCCCTAAAATACCAAAAAATAAAGAACGATCATGGTAAAGCGGTGACTATTGTTCCTTAGGTCGTTTTCGATGGGCCTGTAAAATTTTAAGTGATTCGGGTCCGATTGCCCTGATGCATGCAAATAGCGTGTGCTATAGCACACGAAAATCTGGAAATCGAGCATAATTCTACTTTTAAAACCCTAAAACGCAAAAAAACGAGCAACAGTCATGGCGAAACAGTGACTCTTATTCCCTAGGTCGTTCTTGATGGGCCGACAAAATTGTAGGTGATTCAGGTACGGTCGCCCGTGATGCATGCAGATGGCATGGGCCATAGCACACGAAAATCTAGGAATGAGACGTAATTCTAGTTTTAAAGTCCTAAAACGCAAAAAAAATGAGCAACGATCATGGCGAAGTAATGACTATTATTCCTTAGATCTTTTTATGGGCCGAAAAAATTGTAGGCGATTCAGGTCTAGTCGCTCGGATGCATGCAAATGACATGAGCCATATCACACAAAAATATAGGAATCGAGCGGAATTCTAGTTTTATGTCATTAAAACGCCAAAAATGAGGAACAGTCTTGGCGAAGCGATGATTACTGTTCCGTAGGTCTTTTTTTATGGTCCAGCAAAATTTTAAATAATTTAGGTTTGATCGCCCAGATGCATGCAGATGGTATTACTCTGTATAACAACAAGTATATATTTTGTAACATTGTACAAAGAGTAAAAGAAAAATAACACGTAAACCATATCATAATCTAGAGAAGTATTACAAACAACACAAGAACCTCTAATTTGCATGAGTTTAATAACCAAATATTTGCATGCATCAAGAGTCTCAACAAAACATCACAATACATTAATTGAATCTATATCTTTTATTTAATTTTTTCCCCACAAGTCTTAAGTTTTTCAAAGATCAGGGCGTGATGTTCTAAATTGAATACTATATTTGTATCTTTGAGTTATCAACCAAATATTTGAGCATGTATAATACGAGATGAACAAATCGACAATACGAGAAACATATTATGATATACTAGTATTAGTACTCACGATGCGCGAATAATTAAAAAGAATGATCTACACCGTAAAGTTTAATATGTTAGTGTTAATACCATCTTTACAACCAAACATTAAAAATATTTTGAGACTCTAGTAAAACTTTCTTTCCATCTCCTAATAAACGTTCCATAAAAAATAATGAAACTATACAATTTGCTTGATATGAATGTTCCACGAAAAATAATGATGCTATACAATTTGCTTGATATGAAGCATATACTTAATGGAATATTGTAGCAAATGCTCATGAACATATTATAGTGCATTTTCCATAAATTGTCCTTTGTATTGAGGTTTATCACTACAAAAAGACATGGGTAAAAACTCAAGAATTTCTGGTCCTTGGGCGGCCATTTTTTACGGAAATAAGAGACAACATATATTGTATTACTCATGAGATAACGAAGAAGATATGCCAGAATGATCCTTCGGAAGGAAACTTAGTTGGCATCTAAAATTGTTGCATACTTTCCCCATTCAGTATGAGAATTCCACGTTGATAGAAACAATCAGTCTTGGCATTTCCTAAGCAGTTTCTCACAACAATATATTTTATTGCGAATTTAGTAACTCCAGCATCTTTATAATGACAGTCAAAATCATATATCTGCATGAAGAAATAGCATATTATATTCCTTTCAACGTCAAATTGAACAGAATGAATAGCAGTGCAAGTGAAATGGTGGCTCCTGTGTGCAGCAGTAGTCCCATTGCGAAAACAAAAGTATATTGTATATTGAATATAAAAATTTTAATAAAAAATACATATAGAAATATATATTTTACCAAAATAAGGTCAGTTATAAAGCTTGTACTAAATATAGAATTATTATTTCAACTTAAAATTAATGTGTAAGATACAAAACGAAAATTTAATTGATTCTTTCTCAAAAAATGATACCTATCATAACTGAATTATACACAAAATTTTAATTAAAGATACCTACAGTAATGCATATTGTACTAAAATAAGGTCAGTTACAAAGCTTGATCAATTAATTAATTAATTCGTCCCTACCATAATTATACAAAAAAATATTAACTAAATTATACTACTATATGTTATTTATTTTCCAGATTAAAATCTTAATAATATAATAGAGATTTGTATCATAATAAAAAACAATTCTTATTGAACTACTACTTTCATTAATTATGTTTCCATTTATAATTCAAATTTTTAATGTTTTCTTAAAATTTCCAAGTGGCTTCTTTTTAGCTTGTCACTTGGCTTAATGTCATGCTTCACTACTCTTCTTTTAATATAATATAGATTAGTACCCGCGCGATGCGCGAATAATTAAAATGAACGATCTACACCGTAAAGTTTAATATGTTAGTAATAATACCATCTTTACAACCAAACATTAAAAATATTTTAAGACTCCATTAAAACTTTCATTCCATCTCCTAATAAATGTTCCATAAAAAATAATGATATTATACAATTTGTTTGATATGAATATTCCACGAAAATAATGATGTTATACTATTTGCTTGATATGAAGCATGTGCTTAAGGAAATATTTTTGTAGCAAATAATAATATATTTCATATGGGTATAAACAATAAAATACCAACCAGGAAAGAAAAAGTTCTAAGCAGAGAAAGATGGCAAACAGAAAAAGAAATATGACTGGAAAATTTTTTGATCATATCCTGTACCAAACCTTCTTGCTGGTGTTGCAGCGTGTGGTTCCTGTATACAATATTTCATAACTGACATTATTCAAAGTACCAACCTTACTGTTACTCCCTCTTTCCTAATTAAACTGGCATATTCGAGTGAACACAGTGTTTAAGATCTGTTCCCAATATCAAAAATCGCGGAAAACTCTGAAATGACAGTGTTATCCACAGTTATCCCAAAATCCCTCGGAATGAAACTTTGACTAATCAACTCTACATCAAAAAGCTTGGAACTTTGTGGATTAAGCCACAAAAACGACGGAGGACTAATATGCGACTGAATCAACCCAGTGACTCCTTGAGCAAGCTTATCACTCTTTGTAGTGATAAACCTCTAGTGAACTGCCACATAACATAGTTATACCAAATTAAAAATATTAATTAAAAAATGATACATAAGATCAAAGGATCAGAAGACAATAACAATACGTAATAATATAATTAAATGATAAATTATTTAATAACGTATTAAATTAAATTATGGAAAACTTCTTTGTACACTACATTTCTAGCTTCATTTGTTTTTTGTCCATCATCATCGTAAACTAAAATCTTTAACCCTTTTCTACTTGTCACTCGTGAAAGAGCAACATACAACTGTCCATGTGTAAATACTGATTTCTTCAAAAATAACCCAACATGAGACAATGACTGGCCTTGACTTTTATTAATTGTCATGGCAAAAGACACCACAATTGAAAATTGTCGTCGTTGGAACTTAAAAGGTATTCTCGCATCAGACGGAGTCAACGTCATTCTTGGAATAAACACTTTTTCTCCAGCCATATTACCTGATAAATCCTTGGCTTCAATAACTCGATTTCCAAGTCTTGTGATGATCAACCTTGTACCATTGCATAATCCCGATGACTGGTCTATATTTCTCAGTAACATCAGATGAACACCAACCTTTAGAGTCATGGAGTGATTTGGAACTCCAGAACATTTAATATTGTTCAGGAATTCTGGTGTATGTACGTGGTCCAGAGCTGTAAAAGCATGATCAGACATACAAATCGTATCAGAACTCAAATATGTCTTCTCAGGATTATGATTGAGTGAAACAATATAATCATTGATAGATTCCACCATGTCAAGAGTCGGAGCAAGAATTGCTCTTTGCTGGAGGTAATCTATGTCATTGGAATGTTTAAAGAAATCAGGATAAGTACTTTCTACAATTGCAGATATTGTATCATCACAATTATGTATGAGAAGATCATCGGGGATTCGAACCTTTTCAATGCCATCAACAGAACTTCCAATTCTCCCATCACCAATTGCCAAAATCCAGTCTGAAAATTCTTTTAACTCATCTAAATGTGGCCCTAACTGATTTCCTTACAATCTCATATTCCTTGTTAGTTTTAAGATTTCACAGTAGGGCCATAAATATGAAGAGTTTAGAGCAGCATTAATAATATCTTGTCGAGTACCTTTTGTAATGACTGGCAAAATTTGTCTGAAGTCACTACCAAGAACAACTGTTTTACCTCCAAATGGTCGATCTAGACTGGATGTGTCTTTAAATATAAGAATATCTCTAAGAGTTTGATCAAGAGCTTCAAAACAGTATCTATGCATCATCGGTGCCTCATCCCAAATAATCAACTTTGCCTTAACGATCAATTTTGCCAAAGGACTACCTTGTTTTATATTGCATGTTGAATCTTCAATTGGATTGAGAGGAATTGCAAATCTCAGATGTGTTGTTCGACCTCCCGGTAACAAAAGAGATGCAATCCCACTTGATGCAATAGTTAACACAATATCTCCTCGAGATCATATACCTGAAGATAGAGTCTTCCAAATAAATGTCTTGCCAATTCCTCCATAACCATATAAAAACAACAATCCATCTTTGGCCTCATCCACTGCTGCCATAATTTTCTCATAAACTGACTTTTGTTCAGCCGTCAAGTTCCTCAATAATTGTTGATGTTCCTCTAACATTGAGCGCCTATTATAACGCAATTCATCATGGATTAATCTATTGCTATGGTCACCTTCTCCTTCGTTGTAAAGAGGTCCTGGCATTGTTGGAAAATCCTAAAAACTTCTTCCGCAATCTTTCAAAAAAAAATCCAACTTTTATGAGCAACGATTTTTCAATTCATCATCTGTTAGTTCCGCCTCTGAAAAAACATAAATATTGTGGAACTTAAATAGAGTCTTTAAGTTAAAAATTTTAACTTAAATTTATGTTCTAATATTTTTTAATTAAGCATAAATTATGGTCAAACCTTTTTAGAGCAGAATAATCAACACGTTCACATTTCTTGCAGTAAAACTTATTTCTAATTTTATCAAATTTCTTCGAACATTTTTTGCACCCTACATATGACCATCCCCTTTCAAGTTCTAAATTCACTATAGTAGCAACAATCCAGATTTGCCCTTCCTGTACAAAGAAAGTCATTACTACTATTACGTATATACTTCCAACTGATTGTAAATAAAAAAGCTAAAAAATGTGCACCTAACCAAAACTAAATGTAATGTCATTCATTATATTTAATAAGCAAAGAAAATTGTTTACAGAGCTATATTTGCTAGTCATAGTTTATCTAAAGAACATTTTACTTACTTGCAAAAAATCAATTAATTCTCCAATGCTTTTAACTTCCACATTCCCAGCAGCCAGTTCTTCAAAAACAGAATAATTACGTTGAGAAGTTGTTTGACTAAACCTCTCAAGGTTAACTTCACGCCCACTTCATAATCTGCATTAATCCAAATTTGTATTAGTTCTAAATATGCTAAAAAATTATGTAGTACATATATAAAATTTATATTATATATAAAAAAACCTGGATATAAATTCAGCAACTTGTGGAAGATCAGGATTAATCCAAAGCTTCGAGGAATGAAAAGTATTACGCACAGAATATTTGTCTACATATAAAATTAATTTTAATTTACACACAAAAATAGAATTTAAATCTAATATTACGATCCGAGTACCTTGAAATTTGTGAGCTTTTATTAGCTGCATAACCACTATGACACGTTGATTGGGTGATCCATCCACGTGGGACAAGATTTCTTCTACAAATTCTCCCCAAAAATGTTGCTGAAATATTGGTCCTCCTATATGTAAAATACACAAATTAATAATGAGAAAATAATAGTGATTGATTCTATAACTAAGTCAATTCATGGTTGCAAGCGTACTCATGATCCTCGAGCTCCAAGTTCATAAAGGTACTTGTTTTACCACCTTGGTTATACGATTCTACGTTACCATGACCAATAACTTCTCCTATGACATTTGTCACATTTAAATAATAGTTATGAATAAGGTGATAAAACATTCAACAAAAAATAGCGAAAGGTAAAACAATTACCGAATAGTTCATTCTCATCAACCTCAACTTGATTTGTGAGATGCTGAAAAGGCTTAAAGTTGAAAATATTCAAACTAAACTGTGGATCACTAATTTCATCCACACTCGTCCTATGAGGAAATGTCAGTTTCAATTTATGTTTGTTGGTCTTAATTTTCAGATTGTTTGGTCCAACCACAAAGTTTTTCATAACATACAATCTCATTTCATGTATTTTTATTTTGAAAATACGCATAACAACTCTCTCAATAGTTGCATGAATTCGATCGCCCTAAAACAAAAAATGTGAAAAGAAATTTAAGTTAGTAAGGCGCATCAGTTGAAGAAAATACATCACAACTCAAAAAAAATAACAACATATAAAAGAATATGCACTTTTTCATCTTGAATAATTAATTCGATTAAATTGGAATTTTCTGATTTCTCGCGGTCTGGAATGTGCCACAATCTAATAACACGGACTTTCAAATTCCAACTCATTTTGGACATTGCTATTTTGCTGATATAATTATAGTTTGAAGCCATACTTTGCAAAAGTTTGTGTGGGAGCTAAACCATAAGCAATGTAGAGAAGCCAAACCTAAGTAAAAGTTGCTTAAATACAGATTTGTAAGAAAAGACTATAGTAGTAAATCAATTTATAAAGATCTTTGCAGAAGTTTCTAACGTATGATCTTTCTTGTAAGATACAAAATATGGATGTAAGATACAAAATTTATATTTAATTAATTCTTTCTTAGAAAATAATACCTACCATAACTAAATGATACCTATATTAATGTATAATGTTCGCAAATAAGGTCAGATACAAAGCTTCTACTAAATATAGAATTATTATTTCAACTTAACATTAATGTGTAAGGTACAAAACGAAATTTTAGTTGATTCTTTCTCAAAAAAAAAATACCTACCATAATTAAATTAGACACAAATTAAATTAAAGATACTTGCAGAATATTTTTTTGCTTCGTGAAACTGCATTCATTTTTGTGTATTACGTCCAACAGGTTCTCAAAAGAGAACATTTTTTGTTTAAATCTTAAAATATTTGGCTTTGATTATTTTATGATCTTTTTTAGTTTATTTCCTTTAATATAATATAGATGTAAGATACAAAATATTTATTTAGATACAAAATATTTATTTAATTAAGTCTTTCTTAAAAAGAATTCCTACCATAACTAAATTATACACAAAATTTAATTAAAATACTTATAGTAATGTATATGATATCTGTATTAATGTATATTATTTGCAAATAAGGTCAAATACAAAGTGTGTACTAAATATAGAATTAATATTTCAACTTAAAATTAATGTGTAATATACCAAACGAAATTTTAATGATTCTTTCTAAAAAAAAAAAAGGATACCTACAGATTCTGAGAATATTTTTGTTAGCCGAATTGATGCTTAAGAAAGTTTATTTTTTTTCTTTCTAGTGTAATTAAATTTTGTTTATAATTTTTAATTTACAGAAAATCTTGAACTACTACTTTCATTAAATATTTTTCCATTTATAATCCAAATTTTTCTGTTGTCTTAAAATTGCCAAGTGGCTTCATTTTAGCTTGCCACTTGGCTTAACCACATTGCAAAAATTATAAATATTAATAAGAAAAATAAAAGAGAAGAGGTTGGTGAGAATCGAAGAGATATAGGCAGTTGGGGTTTTTTGGTAAGTAGGTGATAGTGGTAGTTTTAATTGAGCTAAATAGTTGCGATACAAAATCCAAGACTTTAGTAGTTGTGCATTTTAATTTGTAGTATCCCACCTAAAGGAATTAATGCAAAATTGATTAGATGAAATTGATGGGCTTATTATTATCCTCATTTTTATGGTGGAATATGGTGGAAAGGTCTCGGGTACGAACTTCAAGAATAAAGTTACATTTGTTATAGACAGCACTTTATCTTCGATGTAAGACTTTTCTATGTGAATTCGTATTTAGTCGGGCTATATGGTCCGAATAAGACATTAGCCTAATAATCTATTACCGAAGAAACAAAAAATTGTTGTCCAAATATATAGGACATAAACCTAATGTATAATTTTCACTTTGACACCTTAAGGTCCGGATAATTGACACTTAGCCCCTTAATGAATTTCCATAACTTTGCAAAATGGAGGAATTAACTTTTCTATAATTTTGGGGTTCATTTAGGGTTAAAAAGGGTAAAAGTAGCACGGGATAGCCAGTTTTCGGATTGGTCATTGAAAAATAGTCAGTGTTTGCAAAGTCATTGAAAAATAATCACTATTTTGCTGCAACACGGAAAGTTCCAGCATAATATACTGGAGATTGGAGCATCTGTGTATAAACTTCCAGCATATTATGTTGGACCGTTATATTATACTGTAATTCCAATATATTATGCTGGAAGTCCAGTATATTATACTGAATCTCCAGTATAATATACTGGAGTTCCAGTACACTTATGTTGGAAACTCCATGCTGGAGTTCCAGTATATTATACTGAAATTTCAATATATGATGCTGGAGTATTTTTTGGATTTTGAACAGTGTTTTTGTTCAGATTTATCTTTACACAAAAAGTTATTAAATTTCGATTACTTTTGAAACTGTGACTATTTTTGAATGACCACTTGCAAATCCGGCTATTTTTTGAATTTCTCTATTAAAAAGGTGGTGGGTTCATGGTTGTTGTCATCCACATATTTTTCTTTTCGTTTTATTTCTATATTTTGTCATTCACATAATTTTTCCTTTTTTCCTTGCTTAGCCAACTTTTTATTACTTCTTTCGTTTCATTTTATTTTCTTGCATTAAATTGACACAAAATTTAAGAATATAAAAAAGACTTTAAATTTTTGTAGGTTTAAATTAAATATCTGTGCATAACATATTAAAAATATTATTTGAATATTGTGATCTTAAATATTTCATGTTACTAATGGCACTGAGACCAAGAATTTATATAAGAGCATTCAAAAGTAGCAATTTTTCAACGTCTTTAACTACCTTACTAGAATTTTCTCTTATGTCAAGTAGATTTAACAGTTTATATATAACTAAAATAATTATTTTTGCTTTATTTGCACTGTATATTTTTGCTTATGTAGGTCTATTATTTGTAAATAATAGATCTTAAATATTATTTGTAAGTGACTATTGTTAAGGGCAACATGAGAATATTAAAATTAAAAACTTAAAGCGGATATTATTTTTAAATCAAATATAATTAAAAGACAAAATAAGAGACATAAATTAAAAGAGAAAGAATATGTGATCTTATTATAATTAGATCTAGGGGTGTCAATGGATATTCGAAAACCGACTAAATCGACCGAACCGTACCGTACCGAACCGATTTTTAGGTTTCTTTTTAAGAAACCATAGGTTTTTATATAAATCTATAACCGCACCGATAATTAGGGAAGATTTTTTATTTTATAAAAATAAACCGAAAAAATACCGAACCGTACCGAATAAATTTTACATGTAGAAAATATATTTATTTAGTAAGTTTAAAAATAATAATGCATTAAATTTTCTTTGAGCCTTGGAATTATGAAAACTATTACAAGCCAACAAGTAATTAAACTCAAAATACTAATTCCTAAAACCTATTATGTTACTTCTACTTAAACTAAGTTATTTCAAGTATCTTTATAGCAAGACACAAAGTATTCTAGCGATTATGAGTAGCAAACTACAATGTATTGAATATATTTCCTTTCATATAATTTAGATTTATCTTTTTGAATATTTAATCTTCTATAGAATTTATTCTTGAGTCGTCCCAGCTTGGTATATTTTTCAACTCGTATGATTAATATTTTATTTGCCTTTGTTTGATTTCTTTTATGATGTTGTAGAATAGTTGATGGATCTATACTTTAGCCATCTTTTTTTTAAAATTCATCACCCTTTAAACAGTAAAAATGTCTAGAGAGTTTTGTTAAGTCCTATAAAAGAACGTATATTATTGCAATTCTACTTCTACTGGTGAATTTACATGATATTAAAAAAATACCGAAAATTAACCGAACCGTACCGATACCGAAGAGAAACCGATATGATTGGGACGGTTTTGAAAAGTCTAATTTTGGTTATACATAATAGAATAACCGAAAAATTAGTATGGTACAAATTTTATAAAATAATCGATCGAACCGAACCATTGACACCCCTAATTAGATCATTGCTCATGTGGTTCCAACTTCTCCAACGTTGTCCTCTTAAGGAACGCACCTTTTATTCTACGTTTTTGACATAAGTTTTATAAAATTATAAAACAATAGAAAAGACAAGAATATTGCAATTAAAAGTATATTGACTAATTGACTATTTTCTGTCTTTTTCTTTTAATTTCTTTTTATTTATAACGAACCTTAGACTTTGACTTTCCGAATAGCTTTTATTTATTATATAGTAGCAGTAATAAAAAAGCAACAACATATACCTTCTTTTAGGACTCCTTTGCTTTCCTGTGTAAGAAAAATAATTTTACAGTAATTACCAAAAAGAAAAATTACAATGAATTTTGTATAACTAAAGTAATACTAATATATTTATTTTTACATATAGAACTTAGCATCATTATATACTTCCTCCGTCTTATTTTTATTTTAGTTTGATTTGACGCGAAATTTATAATTATAAATGTAAAGGAAGTTTTTTGAATCGTATAGTCCTAAAAAAAGATGTATATAATATATTAAAAAAATTATGAATCTTGTAATTTTAAATATGCCATGTCATTCTTATAAGGGAGTATCATCAAGGGGAAAATAGAAATATGAACATGTACTTACTCTTTAGGGGATATAAAATCTATATATGTAGGGGAAAATTTCTATTTGCGCTGTATAAATTTCCGACGAAGATTTTCATTGCATGTAACTCCTGCCTTTTCCACTGATTCCAAGTAAGTTACTCTGATCGATTATATGAATTTTCACTATCTATATCGCTCCATTAAACGCAAAAAAAAAAAAAAAAAAAAAAAAAAAAAAAAAAAAAGAGGACCACTAATAGGTCATCAAATACTAGAAGACAACAAGGCATCCATAAGAAAAACAATAGCATACTGTAATAATGACCAATCATAATATAATGAAATATTTCAGGCTATAAATATTCCTCCTCATTGAGCCAAAGATTCACCTTCATCTCTCTTTTGTAAGGAAGAGTGTCTAACACTTTTCTCTTTGCCTTAGAAAAAATTCACACGTGGCCATCGCCTTTTACAAAATAAGGAAAAATCTACTATTTCTTGCTCATAGAAACATCCGACTTATACTGTAGTCAAGTCGTTCACCTATTTTTCTGATCGTCTTTCCTTATATTCATCAGATTTTTGGCTTTGATCAGGTGAGAATTTAGATGAAGATCGACATTAAGGAATCTATAATGGTGAAACCATCAAAGCCAACTCCTTCAAAAAGGCTATGGAACTCAAATTTGGATTTAATAGTGGGAAGAATTCATCTTTTGACAGTATATTTCTACAAACCAAATGGAATTTCTCCAAATTTCTTTGATTTTAGAATTATGAAGGAGGCTTTAAGCAATATTTTAGTTTCATTTTATCCAATGGCTGGGAGATTGGCTAAGGATAATAATGAAAAAGGAAGAATTGAGATAAATTGTAATGGAGAAGGGGTTCTTTTTATTGAAGCTGAAATTGATGAATTTATTGATGATTTTGGTGATGATTTTACTCCAAGTTTGGAAATAAAGAAGATGTTAATTCCTAATGTTGATACTTCTGGTGACATCTCTTCTTTTCCACTTGTCATATTTCAGGTACTCTATATTCTATATTACATGCCTTTTTTGAGTTATAATAATTAAATATTTTTGTTCTTTTCTTTATTTTATTTTGCCTTAGATATATAAGATTATTGGTTTCAAGATACACATGGTACAATTGCACAAAAAAAAAGTTTTTTTTTTAATGTTTTATTATATGGTAGAAGGGTAGTCTTGGTGTAACTAGTAAAGTTGCTGCCATGTGATCAGGAGGTCACGGGTTCGACCGTGAAAACAACCCCTTCCCCGGACCCTGCGCATAGTAAGAGCTTAGTGCACATGACTACCCTTTTTTTATTAAATGTGATAGTATTTAACTGGTCGTCAAATTTAAAGAATAAAGTAGTTTTATATATGCTTTTAGCTAACAAATTAATGCAAGTAGTTTCGGTCGACCAATCAACTTTATTTTTTGCCCCATAATTATTTGTTGTTGAATTGACACTTCTAATACGTGTCTTTTTACGTTCCTTATTCTAGAGAGTGGCTGTTATTTGTATTTGTCATCTTGTCTGTATTGTTCATTTCATTTTCAATGTGAAAATAATTAAACAAACCTTTAAAAAAAAAAAAACTAATTTTAATTTTTGCAAAAAACAGCTTTAAAATTTTTATCCGGAAGTAAGTGAGGTAAAGCACTCTCTATCAAAATATTTTTTATTTCTATAGCTCGAACACGAGACTTTTAGTTAAAATATATTACAACCATATCACCGTATCCTCGGGTGGTAATTGAACGAATTCGAACTGTTAATTAACTTTGGTTATTAATTTAATTTTTCTTTAGGTAACTCGTTTCAAGTGTGGTGGAGTCTCTTTAGGGTGTGGCGTTTTCCATACATTATCTGACGGCATTTCATCCCTTCATTTCATCAACACATGGTCGGAAGTTGCTCGAGGCCTCTCCGTCGCCGTCTCGCCGTTCATCGACCGGTCCCTCCTTCGTGCACGGGACCCACCAACCCCCGCTTATAAACACGTCGAGTATCACCCCCCTCCGACCCTAAAATCATCGTCAGAATACGTTCATGATCAAGTTAACGGTCCAAAATCCAGCATCACGGCCATGTTTAAGATCACAAGTGACCAGCTAACCCTACTCAAGACCAAGTCAAAAAAAGAGGGTAGTACTTATGAAGTACTCGCAGCCCATATTTGGCGTTGCACGTGCAAAGCACGTGCCCTAGACAATGACCAATTGACAAAGTTACATGTTGCTACAGATGGTAGGTCAAGACTTTTTCCTCCTTTACCACCAGGTTACCNTACCACCAGGCTACTTAGGAAATGTTGTTTTCACAGCTACACCAATTGCCAAATCTGGTGAAATTTTATCAGAGCCATTGATGAACACAGCTCAAAGAATTCATAGCGCGTTAGCAAGAATGGACGACGAATACTTAAGATCAGCGATAGATTATCTCGAATTACAGACAGATTTATCTAAATTAATCCGAGGACCGACGTATTTTGCTAGTCCTAATCTTAATATTAACAGTTGGACTAGGTTGCCTGTTCATGATTCAGATTTTGGATGGGGAAAACCAATTCATATGGGACCTGCATGTATTTTGTATGAAGGGACAGTTTATATATTGCCAAGTCCAAGCAATGACAAGAATTTGAGGTTGGCTGTGTGTTTAGATGCTGATCATATGCCACTTTTTGAGAAGTACCTGTATGACTTTTGAAANGGGTTATGTTGTTAGTTTTTCCAAATTGTTACACTATCCTCACAGGGTAGGGGTAAGGTTTGCCTACACACTACTCCCGGGGTAAGGTCTGCGTACACACTATCCTCCCCAGACCCCACTTGCGAGATTATACTGGGTTGTTATTGTTGTTTCTGAATTGATCATGTAGTTGCAAATGTCTAAGGTTACTCCTTATGTCCTTGTAACAATGCATGTTGTTCAATTGCCTTTTCTGTGTAAAAATGGAAAAAGAATGCAGCATTAAACTTTGAGATGTTGATAAAGCAAACATAAAATAAGAAATGTAAAACAAAAGGAAAAAGAACATGTATATATCCAATCTATTTTTTCTAATGACGGTGGTCCTGGAACTAGCTCGCGCGCACCTGAAATATGAAGCTGAAACTTCATGGTCTTCCTCCTATTTCATTGACCATAGGGCCACAACACCCTCGGGTGCCACTTAGTTATCCAATCTACAAGGTAAGAGCCAGGTTCTTAAATTTTTCAAACTTACATCTTGTTCATAACAAGCTGAAAATACATCATTGGACTCCAATCACAGCATAATGTAGCTCACAAGTCACAAGGATCATTCTCATAAGTACTTTTCCTTTCAAACAACATTTCAAACCAAGATAAATAAGTGAAGTTCATGCAGTTCTTGTGTATAGGAGCAACTGGAAAACAGCCTTGACAATTGGCTTCTACTAAATCCTATTCCTCTAGCTGCAGACGATCTCGTCATTGACCAATATCATTCCAATAAAAGAGTCTTTGTGTAACTGGTAAAGCGAAAACATTCATCGGATTGCTTCTGGATAATTGAAAATTATTCACCAGATACTAGAAGGAAAGTCTTGTCGGAACTGGTAAAATTGTTGTCATGTGACCAAGACGTCACGGGTTTGAGTCGTGAAAACAGCCTCTTGCAGAAATGTAGGCGTCGGAACTAGTAAAATTGTTGTCATGTGACCAGGACGTCTCGGGTTTGAGTCGTGAAAACAGCATTTTGTAGAAATGCAAGGTAAGACTGCGTACAATAGACCCAAGTGATCCGGCCCTTCCTCGAAACCCGCGCATAGCAGGAGCTTAGTTCATCGGGCTGCCCTTCATCTATCTCACATCCCATTCCCCTTTTCCTGCACCCAGTGGTATCAGAACTAATCTCAAGCAACCAACCTGTTTGAAGAACTCGTCTCGACGGTGATGAGAATCCAAAAGGAATATAGTAAACTATTCCAGGTAGCAGAAAGAATAACAAAGAACACCTAAGTTGAGTTCCCATGTCATCAATGTGGAATCCAACAAACAGAGAAGACCAAATCCCTTGCTTGTACAGAAAACTTCTGAACAACATATGCTATTTTATGTAGAGAACGAATTATACTGACTATATCTCGTTGCTCGCGATCAACATATAGTGTGTGCACATATTACATGTATAAGAACTTCCTATACACAAAAAGGAAAAGATTAAGCCTACATGTCAACAGAACAATTGACCTAGTAAGGCCAGTTCAGGTTCAATAACACTCAACGCTCCCTCAAACTTTTCTTACCACATTTAACTGAATAGTGAAAGACAGGTCAAACCCTCAAAGCAACAGGGTCTTGCCATGATAATTTTCGCTTTCCCACCTGGGAAGTGCCTTCTCCAACATTTCTGCAAACCAATAACTTCAAATCGTTGTGCTGATCATCACTGAGGTTTCGGATAAGACTTCTCCTTGGCTCCTCAAACTGCACCTGCTCAAAATTTGCTTGTGTTTCCTCGTCCCCCATCTGTAAAAATTAGAAAGTCTAGAGGTAAATGATGTAAGACGTATAGCTCACAAAATAAATGACAAGTGTACTAGATGTTTATTTTGATACTTACCGAGATTTCATTCAAATCGAAGACTGGAGCACGAGTAGGCAATGCAGCTTCTTTGCCACTATGACCAGTTTCCTGATTTAAATCAAAAGCAGGTGTGCTGCTCCTCCGTAAGACAGCACTGTTCGCTATGTATAATCTCTCGTTTTGCTTCAAATCAACAGCTAAAGCTCCTTTTCGGGGTGGAACTTCCTTTCCGCTATATACTCTTGCTTTAGGGTTCGAACCTAAAACTGCATTATGTAAAACATCATCTTTTCCATCGCCTAATTTGTGCTTTTGCCTCACCTGAATATCAGGTGTCTTCTTGGAAGCGACCTGTATCCTTCCGTTCTGTTTCGGGCCAGGAAGTGGGGTCAGTTTTTTAAGCTCAAACTCCTTTTTGCTGTAGACTTTATCCTTTGACCTGCTTTTGTCGTAAGTTTCTGGATTTGGCATTGGTACTAGCTGTTGCCCTTGTGGACGACTTAAGGACTTCAACTGCAATAAATGCGTGCGCCTCTGGCGTAAGAAACTGCACAATTATGCGGAAAAAACTGAACTTAGATTCAAATACTAGAAAAGAAACTCAAGCGTTTTCGAAACCACTGGAATCAGCATATGCACAGAAGTGCAATTCAGTCAAGGTTACATTATCAATTGAATGAATACTAAGATGCTGAAGATAATACCTCTTAACATCATTACCAGCGAAATTCTTTTTCCTTAATTATATTATCCAATTATATAGTTTCGAAGTCTAAGGCCAAAATTCTGATTTCAAGAAAATCTTTATTTAAATTACATAAAACTATATCAAGTAAATATGAAAACGTTTTTTATAAAGTTAAACAAACTTACAGAACTTCAGCTAGTAATCTTAGTTTCCTCAGTTTTGAATCCTCCAATTTGTGCCTCATGCCATCAGTTTCCTGTAATTGTAGGTTACATGTAAGCAAAATGATTAATCACAAATATACATTACTTTTATTTTACTCGATTCCAAAATCTAAAACAACAGCTTTCTATCATCTTGCAATTCAAAGTATAGCATGAGAATATTGAAACAAGCTAAGAATTGCTCCCCTATCACTTTCATTGGTAAGAGCACAACACGTGATGTGGGGATGCGTGCGAGCTAGGCGCACGTCACGAGTTCGAATCCTCTCGGCAATCCAACTCTAATGAAGGTCCGAGAGGCGGCTCACATCCACTGAGTTTCGAACCGTGTGCTACTGGCCATTAGGAATTCTAAGTCATAAAAAAACAAGCTAAGAATTATTCTAGAGAGAATTCCTAACAACTCTTGAGGACACAAACACAAGTAGATTAAACCAAAGGGAGACACTAAATCATGGTAAAAGCCTCAATAAGGGAGAACTAAAAGGGTAACTTGCATCCAAAATTTCAACAAAGAAACAGCAAATAACAAGCTCATAAATCATTGATAGGAAACATATCAAACACCAACCAAAAGTCATCAAATTTCTATCAAACAAGAACACAAAAAAACTCCAAAATAGAAAAATCAACAGACTATTCAAAGACAGAAAAATACAACAACAACAACAACAAACCCTATAGATTCTCATGGGGTCTGAGGAGGATAATGTGTACGTATACCTTAACCCTGCCCCGGGAAGGAAGAGAAGCTATTTCTGATACACCCTCGGCTGGAGAGTAGATAAAGACACCAAAATACACTAATAAAAAAAATCATAGATCTTCAAACAAAAGGCTCAAACAAACCCCAAAAATAAGTTTTTTCTTTACCTTGTGGAGATCTTGATAATCCTGAAATAGTATCTGACGCTTCAACCTAGCCTTTGAATCTTCAAAAACACCATAAGATGAGGATTCTAAAGACACCCCTTTCATCTTTTTAGACATCAAATCACAAAAAGATCAGATCTTGGAAAATATGAAAAAGAGTCAAGGCGGCAGAAGAGAGAAAAAAGAGAGGAAAGAGAGGCGTGTAAGTGACAAAACAATAATAATACAACAAAGAAAAGAAGTACTAGTAAATAGGGAAAGAAAGGAAAAGAGAGAGGTGGTGAGAAGGTTCTTGACAAAGAAAGACAAACCCCAAAAAGCCCACATAAATGGAGAAGAAAAATACTATAGTAGTAATACATTGCTGTTTTTGTTTTTTTAGAGACAGTGGTGAAGTGATGAAAGATTGGATCTTTTTAGGGGTGTTGCAGAAGGGTATTTATGGAAAGATTGTGTCTTTATGGTTAAATGGTGTGTATATGAGGTGGGTTTTTAGTTAACAAGACATATGAATACTTCTCCTCTTTGGTTATAGTATAAATTTTGGTCCACCTGGGCCATTACAGAGAAAGAAAGAGTTGATTTTTGGTGTGTGTGTGTGTGTGTTTTCTTCTTCTTTCATCATCCTTTGTTTGTGGGCTGATGATTCTTTGCATTGTGACATCTGCTGAAGATAGGAACAGTGAAAAAGATAAATACATTTAATACAGACATAGTACTAATATATATAGTTATAAAACTTATAGCAGACATAGACATAGAAAAAAAGAAGGAAAAGGGTAAGTGTGATGACTCAATGATATGGGTTTTTGGAGAGAGAAAGAGAGTATTTTTCTAGAGAGAGAGAGAGAGAGAGTGACTGTCTTGTGTTAGCCATGAATTTTTTCTGAAAAAGTAGAGAGAGAGAAAGAGTTTGCAGTTGTTGGTAGTGCCTTGTTTTTAGGCTTTGGGGCTGCTGTTTTGATGGTGATGGGGTTTTTCATTTTATTATATACACCTCCTTATGTGAAAGTACAATTTTGACCTTACCTTTAGAGTCCTCAGCATTTTTTTAACTCTTTCAGGTTTCGAGATACATGACATGTGTGTTGCATATGGACTTCAATCATTTAATTACGGTAAATTATATACATTCTCATCTAATTAAATTAATTAACTATAGTGAGTTAATATAATTTGGTGTAAACACCCGGTGTGGATAATTATTTACCTTTATAAATTATTATCACAAGCCATTGAAAAAAGTTTGGAAGATAACTTTTGGGAGAATTTTTAGTCTCCCTAACTCGAGGAACCCTCAATTTAGTTTTACAAATGTAAAAGTTAGACTCATTGGTTACCTATTAGTTATTTATTTTCTAAATAGATAATATGGTTCTTATCCATATTTGACCCGTTTTTAAAAAGTTCATTATCTAACCCATTTTTTAGTGGATAATATGGGTGATTAACTGTTTTCTTTGAACAATTTTGCCACCACTACTTGTGAAGATTTCTTACTTTAGTCATATATTAAGGACCCGTTTGGCCATAGATTTTGCCAAAATATATTTGGAATTTTTTGACAAATACATATTTGGTAATAGATTTTATTTACATTTTGGCAAATTCCCAAAACCCAAATCCCAGAGTTGGTTTTGGCCCAAAATATCACTATTACATTTTTTAAAAATTGCCCAAAACTTTTATATTTTATAAAAGAGCCCACCATTTATATTTTGTAACAATGTTGTTTCATCTTCTCGGTCATCTGATAGTGTATTATGTAGTTCATTATAAAAATGATAATTTTGTACCAAATTTATTTATGTTCAGGACTATGGTTAGCGTTAATATAATGAATGTTATTAATAAATGTATTGTAGGGTATTTATGATAGTTTTTAAAATCTGTGAGTATAAGTCATGTTTCATGTTTTTTTTTTTAAATGAAATATGTTTTGAAAACTTGTGTTCAAACACATTTTCATCTTCAAATCAAACTTCACACAAATCAGATTTTTTAAAAGAAATTTGGGAACTATGACCAAACGCTAGCTAAATTTGTAAGTTTTATGGCCTCAGCTAGTGATTGTCCTAGATTATTGATTGGCCTTACTATAAGTAATGTTGCTTTTTTTACGGTGATGTTCGCGTCAATTTGCGTGTGTCTTAATTATTACGAAATATTTGTTATCCTTCACCATCACAAGTACATGATAATTTTGTTCATCAAAGCTTTTGGCGGAAGAAATTACCTAGCGGTTTTAGCTTCCGCTCGGATGCTAACCATCAAAAGATGTAGTGGAATAGTACATATTCTTTCACCTTTAATTAGAACTTTCCGTTCAAGCTTTAAAAATAATTATTTTGGCAAAAACACTAAAACATAGTACTATAATAATTTTTTTAAGGCGCGAACTCGAATTAATGGGACAAGTAAATTTTGGAAACTAAATGATTAGGTAAAAAAGAACAATATGCTGACCGGGGGAAGAGTCTATTTTATACCTTTTTTTTTAGTTTTTCATCCGGTGTTCGGTACCCGCATTGGAGCTCGATTATATTCAGATTTACACTGTGTAGGGCCCCATTTGGGGGGGAGCGCTCCCTACCCAAGATTTTTTTATACCTGGCGCTCGAACTCGAAACCTCTGATTAAGAAAAAAATAATTTCATCCACTGTACCATATCCTTTGGCGGTTATTCTATACCTAACTTTTATTATTGTGTGACATCATTCCAACTCCACCTGTTTCAGCTCTCAAAATCAATGCTAGGCCAAGACAGAACAATTATTTTGCTAGATCCCATCTGTGTTTGAAATTTGAATGCAGAAAAGTTAAATTCTTGATTTCACCTTTATCCAAATGTGGGGTATGAGATTACTGAAGTTTGGTTGCCTTCTTCAATAATTCTGTTTGTCACTGACCATTATCTTCCTTACTACATTTTATTGTTATTTTTTGTTATATACAATCAAATCTCTCTATAATAGCTTCGTTTGTTTCGAATATTTTTAGATGTTATAGCGAAATGTTGTTATAGAGAACATATATTATAACATAACATAATAATTGGTTCTGAAAAAGCGTGGCTTTTATAATGAGGTGTTGTTATATAGAGATGTTGTAATAGAGATGTCTGATTGTATATACATGTGGGCAGAAAAGGTGCAAAAACTGGTTGTATACATTGTCGTGTGATAGCCTGTCTTGCCAAGTTGCAAAAATCAGTTTATTTTGAGAAATATTTTTTTTCAAAAGTAATTTTGATGAGAAGCAGTTTGTGTTTAGCTAATTTACTTAAAAAGCACTTCTGAGCCGCAATTAATATTTGATCAAGCTTTTAAAAACTGTTTCTAAGTATATTTTTTTCAAAAGCGTTTTTCAAAATAATGCTTTTGAAGAGAAGTTATTTTTTTCTACTTCTACAAAACGGTTTCTGCTTTTACTCAAAAGTATTTTGTTTCCTTTTAAAAGCTTCACCAAATACTTCAACTTAAAATAACAAAAAAATATACTTTTTCCGAAAAAAGAAAAAAGTGCTTCTAGCTTGAAAAAACTTGATCAAACAGACTATCAGTACGTGAGAGAGAAAGAAAGGAAAGAGGAAAGGTGAACATCAAGTTGCATTCTTGATTAATACATAAAAATAAAAATAAATAAAAAATATTGGACGACAAATAAATTATTCTCATTAAATGTTTATTTTAAATTATATTTACTTAGATTACTTAAAAAGTATATATCATGTAATTCTTATTTTGACATAAACACCGACTATAATAAATATTATAAACAAATATTGGTTGAACACGTGAATAAAAAGCATACAACTTTTTCTTCTCTATCCTTCTTTTTTATTGTTCTTTCTGTTATAAATAGAATTCTATTTATGGTGAATGTCTATATTTAGAGAGATTCTAGAGTTTATTATTTGGTGACTAAGTCAACCTCTCCCTATAAATAGAGGGTTTTATTCCATTATAATTCATCCCAATATCAATAAGAATTCTTTCTCTACTTTGTTCTGCAATACTCTTCTTCTTCTTTTATTGTTTCATAACACGTTATCAGCACGCGACTCTACCGTCTCAAAAAGATTAAGAAACATGTTTTATGTTTTCAATATCCAGTTGCGCCTATGTTGAAAGGTTGTGTACGTAAGTCAACAGTGTTCGTTGTCTTCCCTTACTTCTTAGAGAAGAATTAGCAAACAACAATTGATCAAGACCTAGAAGACCTTTCAACTGTGAATCAAGATTAGAAAACGTTCAACAGTCTTTATTCAATGGATCAAACAAATGTCGATATCTCTCCAGGTAAATTTGGATCAAAGTTCAATTGTAAAAATATTTGTTTAATTGATTCATGTACGACCCATACAATATTCAAAGAGAAGAAATATTTCTCTCATTTAAATATGTGTAAGGCAGATGTTACTACAATTTTTGGTAGTAGTAAATTAATTGAAGGCTCTGGAAGAGCTACTATAACTCTGCCTAAGGGAACAATACTTATCATAGAGAATGCAATGTTCTCCTCCAAGTCCAATAGGAACTTGTTGAGTTTTAAAGATATCCGTCGAAATGGATATCATATTGAGACAATAGATGAGAATAATCTTGAATATCTCATCATTACCAAGAATGTCTCTGGCCAAAAGAGGGTTATTGAGAAGTTCCCATCTTTATCTTGTGGCCTGTATTGGACAAGAATTAGTGCAATTGAGGCACATTCTATTGTAAACCAAAAGGTTACTGATTCCAATACTTTTGTACTTTGGCATGATCGATTGGGACACCCTGGATCGATTATGATGAGAAGAATTATAGAAAACTCAAATGGGCATCCATTAAAGAATTTAAAGATTCCTTTAAATAATGAATTTTCTTGCACTTCTTGTTATCAAGACAAGTTAATTATTAGACCATCACCAACAAAGGTTGGAATTGAGTCCCCTGCATTTTTGGAACGTATACAAGGGGACATTTGTGGACCTATTCACCCATCTAGTGGGTCATTTAAATATTTTATGGTCTTAATAGACGCATCTTCTAGATGGTCCCATGTGTGCCTATTGTCATCTCGCAACCTCGCGTTTGCAAAATTAATGGCACAAATAATTCGATTACGGGCACAATTTTCCGATAATCCAATTAAGTCTGTTATACTTGATAATGCTGCTGAGTTTTCATCCCAAGTATTTAATGATCATTGCTTATCAATTGGGATAAAGTGGAACATCATGTAGCTCATGTTCACACTCAAAATGGTTTTGCAGAGTCTTTAATTAAACGTCTGCAATTGATAGCAAAACCATTACTCATGAAAATGAGGCTGCCCACTTCTGTTTGGGGTCACGCCATATTGCATGCAGCAATGCTAGTTCGTCTCAGACCGATAAATTATCATAAATATTCCCCGTTGCAATTAGTTTTGGGTCATAAACCTAATATATCCCATTTAAGAATTTTTGGATGCGTAGTATATGTGCCTGTAGCACTGCCATATCCCACCAAAATGGGTCCCCAAAGAAGGTTAGGAATATATGTTGGATTTGAATCGCCCTCCATTATTCGCTACATCGAAACATTGACGGGGGATTTGTTTATTGCAGGATTTGCAGACTGTCGATTCGATGAGACACTTTTCCCAAAATTAGGGGGAGAAGTTGGTGAAACCAAACGGGAAATTTTGTGGAAAAATCCATCATTATCTCATCTTGATCCACGTGCCTCTATTTGTAAAAAAGAGGTGCAAAAGATTATCCATTTGCAGAGAATAGCAAATCAAATGCCAGACGCATTTACGGATTTGAAAAGGATAACAAAATCACATATCCCTGCAGAGAATATTCCAATCCGTATTGATGTCCCTATTGGACAATCTTCTAGTGTCATAGCTAATGAGTCAAAAGCACGCCTAAAACGTGGCAGACCATTAGGTTCAAAAGATCGAAAC